ATAGCCTAGCTCTCTCTATATATAGAGGAAGCACCTGGCAGCAGACTAGACTGGAAGGACTGCTAGTGTCTCACAACTCTCTCTCATGGGAGTGAGTTGCACTGAGTCATTTGTACTGCTTTATAATTTAACTGTCCATTCTTGTATTATATATCTATCTGTATATAATTTAACAGTTCATTTCTTGCGTTATATATCTAATTATCTTTATAAATAAATATATTAAATTATCAGCAATTTGGTTTTATCTCTCTAGAGAACCCTGTCTAACACACCTGGTTTAGAATTATGGTTCTCCCATTAACTAATACTGCGTAAGTTATTTGAAGGCTCTGAGCTTCAGTCGCCTCCTCTGGAAACTGTGAATTACAACACCCACCCTACAGGGTACTAAAGAAGATGAGGAGCCAAGCACTTAGCACAAGATCACTTACTAATCTGAATAAGGTTAGCCACGTTTTTCAGGACTGCTCTTACTCGGGACAAGCAACACAGAGCAAGTATGCCAGTCAGGGAGGTACCTGGAGCAGCTGGCATACTCCCATCTACTTTCCCAACTCCTTTCCTTATACTCAGAGTGTATGACTACATGATTTGGGGTGAACAACTGAGCATAGGTTATTTCAGTAGTAGCTCTAGGCTAATGAATCTGCTAACTCCTCAAACCAAAAAGCCTACTCATTGCCACGGAGTAGATTCTAACCATAGTGAACCTATAGAACACAGTAGAACTGCTCCATAGGATTCCCAAGGCTGTATCATTCTCCTATAGAGCAGCTGATGGGTTCAAACTGTTATCCTTTCGATTTGCACCAAGCACTTTACCCACTAGGGTTTGTGCCTCCAGGGTTCCTTGCCAACTCCTACCCAACAAGTCTTTCTCCTCCCATAGTTAGTCTCAAAACTCCCAGAGGCAGTTCTACCCTGTCCTATACGGTACCTATGAGTCAGCATCGACTCCATGGCAGTGGGAGCTCAGGAGATTTTAAGAGAGCAGACACCGATACATCAGTCAATACCAGTGTGACTTACCCATTGTTGGGGGCAACTCGATTCAAAGGAGCTTCTTAACTTCTTGCACTGAGAAGCATCGTCCGTGCTCTCATCTAAACACTTCCAGTACTCATCTCGGGCTCCCCAGCAAGCCTGCCTTTCTTTCATAGACGGGGCTGCCATTCCCAGTGGGACCAAGCTGCTGGTCAAAATAATAACATTAACAATTAATTCGTAATTTAAAAGAAGCTACCAAAACCCAAATCCACTGCCACTGAGGCCATTCCAATTCATAGTAAGCAATGCTGTGATGTTGACCTGCTCTGTAGAGTTTCCAAGATTGTAAACTTTTATGGAGCAGTCAGCCTCACCTCTCCCAAGGAGCAGCTGGTAGGTCTGAACTACCAATCCTGTGGTGAGCAGTCTAACACTTAACCCATTATGCTACCAGGGCTCCTGAAGAAAGGAAAATGTCACTCCATATTTTTAAAAGAAAAAATAGATCGCCTTGATGTTTTAATGATGCAGCTAAGGTCAATTAGTTCTAAATTAGCTATGCCTTAAGAATGCTCACCTTTTAAATATATATTGATGTAAATATATTTTTTTTTAATTTTCAAAAATGATCTTCCCATTCATCATCCACAAATCTTTAGTTGCAGAATAATTCAAATAGTCAAGCTCTAATATCATAGCCATTTGTCCTAAGCTTTTGTTTTCCTTCTTCCCAATCACTATATATTTGTCTCATATCCAGCCATACTACGTGCTGAAGAATCGCTTGCCAGTGAACCTAGTTAGAGGCAGTGGGTGGAGGTGTGGTGGTTTGCTATCCTGGCTACACAAGAACCTGGGTAGTTTTAAAAGTCCTGTTTGGCCCCTTCCCAGGCCAATTAAATCAGAATCTCTGCCAGTGAGTTTTGGTATACGTATATACCAAGTGTGTCGTTATACACATAGAGAAATGAATGTGTGCACATACACAGAGGTATGAATTTACTTATTTATGCGCCTCACGTGATTCGAGTGGGCGGCCACGGCAGAGAACCAGTGAAACAGAGCGGCAGCAAACGCCCAGTCGCTTTCTCTCATGTCTACCCGCAGGCTCCACTCCATCACTTACAGTCACTGACCTCGCCCCGTCTCTGCTCAGCACAGGGCTCAATCGCGTCCAAAGCCCTCTCTACCACGAACTCGACAACACAGGCTTTCGGGGTTCACCTCGCGCAATCAATCGCTTTGATGGCGGCAGGGGTGGAGTTAGAATCACGGTTTTCCCAGTCGGCCACCTGGGGTCGCCTCCCTTTTGCCTCTCAGTCTCTCGAACCCTATCACCTTAAGGGCTTAACAACGCCGCGACGTGTGGGCCGCGCGCCGTACAGTCGAGGTGCACGGGGACCAAAGTATCCCCAGCAGGACGGCCCGCGCTACCGAGTCCCCTGAAGAACCCGCGGCTGGGGGCAAGCCCCTGCCGAGCCGACACTGCCCGCCCGCCCAGGCGCCAGTCCCGACCTCGGGGTCCGCGGGACCTCTCACGCCGGGCGCCCCACGTCGCGCAGACCGACACCCGCGGAGCACGGGCGAGTCGGGCCGGTCGCCCCGAGGGCGCGCAAACAGCCCCCCTCCCCTCCTCCCCAGAAGGAGAACCGACCGACCGCTCCACGGCTGGCTAGACGACCTCTGACCCTCGCCGTTGCTTTGCCAGGAAGGGCGGGACTTCCGGCTCCTCCCAGCTGCCCGCGGGACTTCCGGGCGCGCTCCGGGGTGGGGGGAGTCGTCCAGGTTCGTAGACGTGAATGGTTTGTGCGCTCAGGTTGATTTGCAGTGTCATTGAAAAGCACCGTTGCCCCGTATATTTTTTTCCTCCCCACAATTTTAATCAACTGTGGTACTTTCATGAATGTTTAATTTATGTTTCTTTCTATTACGCTCAGCGTTGGCTGGCCGGTTTCACGTCCAACCCCTGACGTACTGGACAGCCGAGTGTTTTCAGGTAGTACCTTCAGTGCTGACACTTAATGTCCCCCGGGGGGGTTCCGTAGAAAGCCAGCTTTTCTCCCAGGCTCCGCTGCTGCTTTCAAACCACAGACCAGACCTAACCACTGCCTCCAGAGCTCCTGATCCTGGGAGTACCGGAAGGTCGCTAATCAACTCTGGCAACGGGTTCGAGCGTTTGTAGCAGTCGAGCTGATCAGCACCACATGAGTCCTGAAGTCTTAACTCCTCCCTCCTTACATTGAAAATCGAAAAAGGAACAGGACATAGTGACCAAGCCATGAACCAATACCAGTACTTAGTTTGAACCCTCGCGGATTTCTTCTGTGGATGGAAAGACTTAGTTGTACTCGGAGGCAGCTATTGAAAGAACACTCATGGCCGAGTGGTTAAGGCGAGTGATTAGAAATCCATAAGGGGTTCCCGCCCCCGCAGGTTTGATTCCTGCTGGCGATGGCCCTTTTTCCCATTGAGGAGCCCAGGTGGCATGATGGGCTACCAACCATAAAGGTCAGCAGTACAAAACCACCGGGTGCTCTGGGGAGAAGGAGGAGACATCCCACTCCTGCAAAGAGTCTACATCTCAGAAACCCACAGGGGCTATTTTAGCCTGCCCTAGAGGGTCACTATGAAACAGATTCTATTCCAGAGGACCACATGGCCGGCCCTACTATGAGACATGATGCCCTTCACTGACCCATAGCCCTACAGGGGACAACACTGGAGAGTGTGGGAACTGCACCGGATCTGAGGCAAAACGCTAAGGGGGTGCAACAGAACAGCAAGGGAATGGAGTGGCGAGGTCCCCAGGAATGCTGAAGGTGGACTTTGGGGCCAGTGTGTGGTGCCCCAACATACTGGACTGGAAAACACTCCTAAAGGCCAACAAACAATCCTTGAACTAACTACAAAAAAAAGAAAGAAAGAAAGAAAAACAGATTCAACTCTGATGGCAGGGACTGATTGAAAGAGAATGTAAATACAAAGTGCCTGTCTGCAGAGATGTGGTTATTTGCAAGATTAAAATGTATCTGATTTCACATTGAGTCTAAAGGTAGTACAAGTTGATGAGAGACATGTGGAAAAATGATTATGTGACTAAAAAAGTATTGACTTAAGAACATAGAAACATTTATTAAGTAAAAATACCTAAATGTGAAGTTGTTGTTTTGCAACATAACCAACATCACACGAGGTCTACATACCGGCCAACTCTTCCAAGAATTCGGCACTCTTTTTCACCAAGTCAGATAGCAGTTTAGGCTTTGTGGAGGGACTCAATCATGTTCTTTGGGTTTGGGGGACAAAGGAAAATCTGAGGAGGTATTGCATAAGGCTTCCCAACAATACAGCATTGGAGATCCCGAACTATCTTTAACTAATCTGATGCATAGTGGGAATGAAAAAATACTCTCAACACAACACTCCTAACCTTTTTCTTACCAATGTCATTTTCAGTTTTCCGAAATGTCTTTGTAATAACCTCCTCCAAATTAGCTTTTTAAAATGTATCCAGATTACCCCTTAGTTGTTATTGTTAAGTGCCCCCCGTTAGTCAACTCCGGATACAACAGGCTGAAACACTGTTGAGTCCCACGCCATACTTAAAATTGTTGTAATTGAACCAATTGTGGCCATTGTGTCAATCTATGTCATCCAGGATCTTTCTCTTTTTTTGCTGACCCTCTACCAAGCATGATGGCCTTTTCTAGGAACTGGTCTCTCTTGATAAGGTGTCCAAAGTGGGTGAAACATTTCTAGACAGCATTTGTTAGGTAGAGGCAGAAACCCGGGGTTGTCCCTCTACACGCCAAGGCCTCCCTCCCCTTACAGGAAGTTGGGAGCAGATCAAGGCTAGAGGGCTTGCACACATTCAGGCCAGGTGAGCATAATTCAGCCAATGGAGTCAACTAGTACTGTTGACCAGGCCTCCCAGCGGAGAGCCTAGAAAAAGTCAGAACTGGGAGCCCACCACCCTCTTTTTCCAGCTGCTCTTAGACCCTCCTGTAGTTTTCTCGGGCCTCAGGTTTCCACGTATAGGGGTGAAGTGCACTGAGGGTGCTTGAGTAAAGGCTGACGCAACTTCAATCCTTTATGAAAACTCACTGGATCACAAACCAGGCTTTGGCGTGAGTTCTTTATCGTGTGAAGCCAAGGACCGAGGTATTTCCACCGGAGGAATCTAACACATTCAAGTTGTATTTCTTCCAAGAACTTTTTGAAGCCTCTTTGTGTGTTCTACAATATAGAAAGTTCTTCTGTAATAATAATGGACTCCAATAATAGATTGTTTTATCTTAACCAAAGCCAGTAACATCCATTAAGGACACTTATATAGAAATAATATTTTGAAGTGTAACAGGGGGGATATAAAAGGTATGAAAGCAAAGAATTGGAAAAAAAAAAAAGAGAATTGAAAAAAATAAAATTTAAAATTTGTGTATGTATTTAATGGCATATTACATATGAAGTGAAACTAGGCAGAATTAGAAGTATATATGTGTTTGTAAGTATATATATGAAGTAAAGCTAGACAGAATTAGGAGGAAAAATAGACATGGTCTTATTGAATGACTTTAATGGGCCTTTCTTGGTTGTTATGCAAAAGGAAACCCAGTAAGTATATAAAAAAGTTGAACAGCATGATATACAAATGATCTAATGAATGCACCCAGAACACTACAACCAACATCAGAATATGCCTTTTTATGTAAAGCAGATATTGCTTATTGCCAAAATTAACCATATACTTGGCCATAAGCAATTCTCAACACATTTAAAGATTGCAACTATCTACCATGTTTTCTGACAATTAATTAAACTAGAAATCAAAAAAACAAAACACCAAACCCACTGCTGTCAAGTCAACTCTGACTCATAGCAAGTGTACAGGACAAAGCAGAATGCTTCTTAGGGTTTTTAGGAGCAGGCAGCCTCATCTTTCTCCAATCCAGTGACTGATGGATTTGAACTGCCAACCTTTCAGTTAGCAGCAAATGCTTAATTCACTATCCCACCAGGGTTCCTTAGAAATCAAGCAACTGTAAAAGCAAGTCCATGTACTCTACAAGCAACAATTTATAATGGAATACAGTATTTTGAACTGAAAACAAAATAGTGGAATGAAGCTAAAGCAGGAGTCCTAAATCTATAACCTTAAGTATGGGAAACAGAGAAGTTATTTCCCAGGTTGTCACCCAATAATATACAGTGAACCCTCGTTTATCGCGGTTAATCGGTTCTAGACCCTACCGTGATAAATGAAATTCCGCAAAGTAGGATTCCTTATTTGTAAATCAAATATTTTTGTAGTTAGAGCATAGAGGACATGAAAAAACACCCTTTAGTCA